TGTAACACCAACCCCCCCTGGGCCCCGACCACCTCTTCCGGTTTATCTCATAAATAGAAATAAGTCTCATTATAATTATTTGTCTTTATTAAATTAAACTTATTTTTTACTCTTTCAGCGCTTGCCAGCCCCTGTCTCCCCTTCTTACAGCAAGAGAAACCACAGCCACGCGCTGTGATCGTCTGGGATCGTACGGGATCGTCTGGGATCGCCTCCCGATCCCAACACCGACTCCCACCCCACAGATGCCAAAAGGAGTCCGACCTGTGGGGAGCAGGGGCCCCCAGGGGCCCCCCGGGGGCCCCCTCTCCTCTGAGAAAGGGGGGGAGGCCTCTAGCAGCTTTGCCGATATACCCTATATGTATAAACGCAACCATGCAGCAGAAGATGAAGCTCCGCTGCTGCTGCTGCAAGAGCAGGAAGAAGATAAGCATCCAGTTGATCTGCAGCAGTTGCTGCAGAAGGAGAAGTTGCTGCAGCAGCAGCACCAAATGCTTGTAAGGCAGCAACAGCAGCACCTGCTGCAGCAGCGACAGAGGCAGCGCGCTGCAGCTCAGGTGTCTAGGGACCTCCTCTTCTCGTTTCCTCGCGAAGCTGTGCAACAGCAGCAGCAGCAGCAACATCAGCAGCAGCAGGAGCAAGAAGACGATGAGGAGCCGCTGCTGCAGCTTCCTGATGTCTCCCTGTCTCCTTCTGTCCCGTTGAGAGACTTCTTAAAGGCAAGAGACTCTGATGCTTCTCGAGAGTTGTTTTCTGCTTCTGCTGCTCTCAGTCCGCAGCAGTTTGCTGCTTCACTTCATCCCCGCTCTCCTCGCACTGCAGAAGGGCACCTCATATCCCCCCCTGCAGCAGCAGCAGCAGCAGCAGCAGCAGACGGGAGGTTTGCTGCTGGATCAAGTGCGCCGCCAGCGTGCGGACTCCCCCTCAGTCCTCATGGGATAAAAAATATTTCTCTGTCTCCTAATGCTGCTGCTGCTGCTGCTGCTGCCGCTGCGGGGCGGCAACAGCTCTTCGGCGTCGAGGACGCAGAAGCAGTAGCAGCAGAAGCAGAAGCAGCAGCAACGGCAGAGGCAGCAGCAGCAGCAGCAGATCCTGTGCTGCAGCGCCCATGCCGCAGCCGCCGCGAGGTGATCTCTTCTGTCTCCTCTTGGGGCCTGAAAACTGCAGAGAGAGCAACAGCAAGAACCCCTGGAGATACAGCAGCAGCAACAGCAGCAGCAGCAGCAAAGAAGTTGGGCGATGCAGCAGCAAACCCGCTATCTCTGGGTATTCAATATCCACCTGCTGACAAACTAGTTTCTCTTGCAGCACCGCAGCAGCAGCAGCTACCGGTGCTGCCTTCCCGCTCCCTGCTGCAGCCTCAGCGGCACCTTACTGCTGCTGCTGCCGCTGCTGCCGTTGCTGGCAGCAGCAACAGAAGCAGCGGCGGCAGCAGAAGCAGCCACAGGAGCAGCAGCAGCAGACTCGAAGAGCGACATATTCCTGCTGTTTCTCCTGGCATTGCTGGTTCTGCTGCTGCTTCTGCTGCAGCAACAGCAGCAACAGGCAGCAGGAGGGTGTCTGCGCAGCAGACGACTGCATCACTTCGGAGTTTTTCTTCTCGTTCTTCTGCTGCAGCATCGTGGGCGGTGGGTCCAGCTGCTGCTGCTGCTGCTGCTGGGGCTCTTCCCCTTAATCAAAGAGCAGACTTGCTGCTGCCTTCTGCTGCTGTGTCTCCTTCTGCTGCCAGCTTCAAGGAGCAGCGCAGCAACAGCTTCCTTGCTGCTGCAGCACCCGCAGCAGCAGCAGCGCCTGCAGCAGCAACAACACCGAGACCACCACCAACACCAGTACCAGCGCCAACTGCAGCAACAGCAACAGCAGCAGCAGAAGGGGAGGCAGCACCTGCTGCTGCTGCAGCAAGAAGAGAACCTGGAGAGACACAAAGCTTGAGGCAATCAGCGCTGCTGCGGATAGAGAGGGGGGCCCACAGGGGATTTACTTCTCTTGGCGCGCATGAAAGAGCAATCTTTGCTGCAGCAGAGGCAGCAGAAGCAGCAAGAATTGCAGCAGCAACAGCAGCAACCAAGCCCGCAGCAGCAGCAGCTGCTGCCGCTGCAGCAGAGCAGCTGCAGCTGCTGCAGTCCTCCGCAGCAGCAGGGGGCTCCCTGGCTGTCTGCGACCGCCAGCCCCTCAGGCGCTCCATAGGGCCCCTCAAGTGGGGCCCGTCAGCAGCAGCAGCAGCAGAAGCAGCAGCAGCAGGACAGGCTGGTGCAGCAGCAACAGGAATATCCCTTGGCTCTCCTTCTAGTCGCCAGGAAGGCCTCTACACTGCACCAGCAGTGGAGACAGCAGCAGCAGCAGAAGCAGCGCGCTTCGCAACTCCTGGGGCCCCTGCTGCTCTGCCGTTGCTGCGCGAAGGGCCCCTGGTGAAGCGCATGGAGCCCAGCAGCAGCAGCAGCAGCAGGCTTCCTCACGCGGATGGAGGCACTGCAGCAAGAGCAGCTTCTCCTCAGGGCAGCCGCTGGCGTCTCTGCGTCGGTCCCTTAGCAGCAGCACTGCGGCATTCTACGGAAAGCCAGCAGCAGGAGGAGCAGCAGCAGGAACAGGAGCAACAGCAGCAGCAGCAGCAGCAGCAGCACCGTTGGGGAGCTCGGGGGCCCTCTGAAGGCAATGCCTCCTTAAAGGGCCCTCTGCAGCTCTCTTTGCCTCATATAAGCCCAGGGGGCCCCCCCCCTTCTGCTGCTGGGGGCCCCTTGCGGCATTCACCCCAAGACCCTGCTGCTGCAGCAGTGCATGCAGCAGCAGCAGCAAACGCATGCACAGGGCAGCTACAGCCGCGCCTGCAGCAAATAAATGGAGGCACTGCCCTTGGACGCTTTAAGGAGATGAAAAGCGCTGCACTGCAGCAGCAGCAGCAGCAGCAGCAGCAGGTGCAGTTGCTGCAGGGCCATACAAGGATAGCAGCAGACAGTGAATTTAAGCCTGTCTCCCCGGAGTGTATGTGGAGCCTCCACGTGCCGTCAGCTTGCCGCTGCAGCTGTCTAGACACCCACAGCAGCAGCAGCAGCAATGGCAGCAGCAGCAAAGTTCGTATGGCACGGGGACCTGAAGGCTCGCTGCTGCTGGAGCTGCGGCGCTGCAGCAGATGCGGCGGCTTCCCGTTGGCTTCCTTCGACTATGGAGCAGCAGCTACCAGCTACGCCCAGTAGCAGCAGCAGCAACAACAACAGCAGCAGCAGCATTAGAAACAACAACAGCAGCAGCAGCAGTAGCCATTCCAGCAGCAGCAGCAGTAACAGAAGCAGTAGCAGCGATTGCAACAGTAGAAGCAGCAGCAACAGCAATAACAGCAGCAGAAGCAACAGCAACAATAGAAGCAACAGCAACAGCAGCAGCTAAAGTATTAACACCAAAAACCCTTTGTTTAAACAGTTGTTGATCGGGGCCCCCCCTTGACTGTGCAGCTGCTGCAGCAGTCGAGGGGGCCCCCGTTTGGAATGTGCATGCGTTTGCTGCTGGCTCTGTTTGCTGCTGCATGCAGCTCAGTTGTCTGTACACCCCACAGGCTGTATGCCCGCCCGTGTGTATACAGTGAGCAGTTGAGGTGTATAGGCAGCTTCAATTGCTAAAGGACTGCGAACGCAGCCAAACACACAAATCGCTCGGCACTCCCAAAGAAGAAATGCAAGAGGCGTAGCTGAGACAAACACACGCAAACAGCAACACCTGCTGCTGCTGCTAATATTGCTGCTGCTGCTGCTGTTCATATTGTGGCTGCTGTTGCTAATAGTGTTGCTGCTGCTGCTGCAGGAGCAAGTATATATATATATATATATATATATATATGTATATATATATATATAGACATGTATATGCTTTCTCTTTATATCTTTGTTTATCTCTTGGCAATTTATTCACTGAGGTTTTATTTTTATTATTTGCTGTCTATTGATTATCACTTAATCTCTATCCTGCATTATTTATTTTTCTTTTTATATTTATTGTTTCTTCTTTATAAATTCTTTACTCCTTATTCTTTATTCTTTATCAAGATTTTAAAATTTGTTTATTATTGTCTACTTGTTGCTGTTTGTTGTTTATGTTTTATTTCCTATTACCTCTTGTTTTTTTTGTTTATTCTTAATTGTATAGCATCAGTTATTTGCTGTTTATTGTACTTTGTTTGGTGTTTATTATTAAATGTTTATTAATTTTATTTATTATATATTCCTCTTTATCTTTAATTGTTTATTAAAATATATTTTTAAAAGTATTTATAGATACTTTAGACAATGTTTACTGTTCATTAGTCTTTATTGTTTATTGTGTATCTATTATATTTATCGTTTGTTAGTCTTTATTATTAATTGTTTATTATATATTGTATTAATTGTATTTTTTGTTCATTGTTATTTATTCTTAATTGTTTATTATTATTTATTGTTTATTACTGTTTATTCTCAATTGTTTATTATTATTTATTGTTTATTATTATTCATTCTTAATAGATTATTGGGGTGTATAGACAGCTCAACTTACCGCTCATGTGCAGGGAATTTAAAAGGAAGAAAGAAAGACCCACGAAAATCAGCAGCAGCAGCAGCAGCAGCAGCACTTCCTAAGTCGCTGTAGCTGTAGAAACATTTTTCTATTAAACCTAATAAATGAAGGCGAGAGAAAGATAGCCGCAAACTCTGTACAAACAAAAGCAGAAAAAAACAAAGACAAACAACCAGATAAAAATAAAGGTACGCATATAAAGATATAATATGAGACAAAGAGACACAAATATAGAATATATATATATATATATATATATATATATAGAGAGAGAGAGAGAGAGAGAGAGAGAGAGAAATAGAGAGAGTAAGAAAGAGAAGCACAAGAGATAGACAGAGGATGAAGCAAGAAGAGACAAAAGAAAGAGACAAGCCTGATTAGACAAACAAACATCAATCAAGCAAAAAGAAACAAACAAATCCCGATGCCCCAGAGAATCAACGAGGGTTTAGGGTTTAGGGTTTAGGGTTTATTACAGGAGAGGATATAGGTCTTCTTCTTGAGTTATGCAGCTTATAGAAACCTGCAGTTTCTGCTAAAACAGCAGCAAATGTCTTAGGTATTACTCTCCTTCGGTGTAGACGAGCCATAGAGACTAACAGCAAATGCTCTGCAAGAGACAGCTCTTGAAATAGAGCTGTCTCCTCCTCTTCGATTGCCTTAGTAAAGACAAACAAACACAGACAATAAAGTAATATACAGGTATTAAACAAAGACAAACAAATAAAGAAAATAAAGTAATATAGATTTAATAAATACAGACAAACAAACAAAGATAATAATACTATGAAAGCGCGAGTAATTAAAGACAAACAAACAAATTAAATAAACCACATAGAGGCACCATTAAATATAAATAAACAAACAAAGAAAAGAAAACAGGAAATGATATAAACAAAGACAAATAAACAAAACAAATAAAACGCAATAAAGATATAAACAACGATGCACGGACAAAGAAAACAAAATAAAATAAAATAAAATAATAAATATATTAACAAACAAAGACAAACAAACAAAACGCAATAATAAAGATAAAAAGCATATAAAATAAAATAAACACAATAAATAATAACAAACAAACAAAGAAAATAACAAACAGAGACAAACAAACAGCAAACAAACAAACAAACAAAACTAAAAAATCAAACAAAAGAAAACAAACAGCCTTCCACAGACAAAAGTAAAACTTCAGCATAAAACAAACAAAGATAAACAAACAAAGATAAACAAACAAAGGTAAACAAACAGACAAAACAAACAAACAAACAAACGAAAAAAGCAAAACAAACAAACAAGAGAGACAAATAAACAAATAGAGGAGACTACACAAACCAAAAAAGAAAGCATAACAAGGCTGCAGAGGCAAACAAAACAAACAAACAAACAAACAAGCAAACACAATTAAATAAACAAAGAAGACTGATTAATTCTGCTTGCTTGCAATCAGCAGGCGCATGCATGAGGGGTGAGAGGCGCAGGTCTGCTGCTGCTGCTTCTGCTCTTATCTCCTTTGTCGTTGCTGTTTTTGCTGCTTCTGCTGCTGCTGCTGCTGCTGCTAGCCCTGCTTACTTTGCGTGGATTGATAGCATCAGCGCAGATTTTCAGTCGCTCTTCTTCCTGCTGCTGCTGCTGCTGCTGCTCAAGTTCAGCAGCAGCAGCGCCTTCTCTGCAGGCGCTGCGCTGCTGCTCTGCATGCCTTAGAGGCGAATGAATAGGAGAGAGGGCCTCAGGGGCCTCGGGGGCCCCCAGAGCAGCACGGCTTGCTGCTGCTGCTAGCTGCGGCAACGGAGGAGACAGCAGCAGCAACGGGCGAACAGCAGCAACTAAAAAGCAGCGGGGGTTTCGCCCCAAAGCCAACGCCCTCCCGCATGCAGCCTAGAAGCACATAAACCACAGCAGCAGCAGCAGCAGCAGCAATTATCCGTGCGTAGCTCCAGGAACAACTCGTGCTGCTGCTGCTGCAGCAGCACCACCACCACCACCACCAAAACTCCGTGGATCAGGTGTGCTCAGGGACAGGCTGACGAGTTGAAGCAGCAACAACAGCAGCAGCAGCAGAAGGAAGCAGAGCAGCAGCAGCAAGACTAAGGACCAGCAGCAGCAGCAGCAGCTTACGATGAAGCTTGGATCGGAGAGTTCTTTATCAAGAGCCGCATTAAAAGATTGTATGAAGCGGGAGGCAATTTGCTTATCCTTTTGTTTTGCTGCTGAATCTGCTGCTGCATCTGCTGCTGCACCTGCTGCAGCTGGGAGTGGTTGTGCTTCCTGCTGCTGCAGCAGCAGGTCTTGCGGCTGTACGCTAAGCAGATTATTACGAATGAAGCCGAGGAGCTGCTGCGGCGTAGCAGCAGCAGCAGAAAGCAGCAGCTTCTGCATTGTGAAGCGGCTTCTTATCCTCTTCTCCATAAAGTCAGGGAGATCAGCAACAGGAGACAAACAAAGCGTGAAAATATGCAGCCCTTCTCCGTGCTGCAGATCGAAGAGAGTGTAGAGCAGCAGCTGCTGCTGCTGCTGCAGCGCGCCGCTGCTGCTGCTACGCTCACGAGAAGACAAGCAGCAAACCTCAGCCCTGTCTAATACCACTACCACTGCAAACCCCAAAGCAACGCAGCTGTCTATCAACAAACTCCGCAGCCGTCGAGCCCAATCCCCGAAGCTGCTGCCTTGCTGCTGCAGCTCTTGCTGCTGCAGCAGCTGCTGCTGCCCTAAACAGCTGCACAGACGCCGCACAATGCCCTGCAGTATCTCCGTGTCGCTCCCATACAAAGAGCAATTCACACGCACCACTAGCAAACGACGCAGCTGCTGCTGCTCCTGCTGCTGCTGCTGCTGCTGCTGCACGAAGCGCAAGGCACACTCAACAGCTGTTGTTGCTCCGGAGCCTCGCGGCCCCATCACTAAAACGCTGCTCTTTTCCTTTAGCTGCAGACAGCACATCAGCTTTGCTGCAAGTGCTCCAGCTACGCCTTCCACAGAGGCATCGCTGCTGCTGTTGCTGCTGCTGCCGCTGCTGCGGGCTCGTAACGAAGCAGCAGCAGCGCTCTCACCCCTCAATAAGGACTCAACTGCTGGCGAGGGGATAAACCCACTCTGCTTCTTTTGTTGTGTCTTGGGGGCTCCTAAAGTTATCTTATGAAGCTCGCCCCTAAGTGCTGCTCTCAGCCGCTGCCGCAGCACGTGCTGCAGCAGCTGCAGCAAATAGGCCCCAGAAGAAAGTCTGTCGTACATCACTTGTGAGAAGGGAAGAGGTCTTGTTGTTGCTTCCTCTTGGGGGCCCCCAGCAGCAGCAAAGCTGCTTCTTTCTGCATTATCTACACCTACCCGCACCCCCACACCCGGCGAGGCTTCAACAGACCCTAAGGGCCCCCCATTAGACCCTAGGGGCCCCTCTGTAGGGGCTGGGGGCCCCTCAGTACCGCTTAGGGGCCCCTCTACAGAATCTATGAGCCCCTCTTCGGGGCTCTGAGCGCTGCAGCGGCGTTTGTGTGGGGGGGGAGGACAGTCAGAGGGGGCCCTCAGCCGCTTGGGGGCAGGGGGCCCTTGCATGGTGATGTGCAGCACCTAAACCCTAAACCCTAAACCCTAAACCCTAAAGTATACGGCAAATGAACAAATGTATGGAGGCCAAGGCTCAGTAGAGGACAAAGAAAGAGACAAAATGACGAGAAGGGTCTGGGAAGAAAGAAAGAGAAGAATAATAAGGATTAGGAGAAGAAGCCAGAGCGATTAAATAAAAGAGCAAAGCAAAGAAAGACAAAAAGAAATAGACAAAGAATGCACAGAATGCAAACAATCGTAAGGGGGGTGGTAGTTGTTTGCAGTGCAGGTGAAGGCGGAGGCGGAGTGGAAACCCTCGAAAACAAATAAATAAAACAAAGTTAATTTGTTTTGCTCAAGCCAATTCAACATTTAAAAGATATTATTAATCATTTTTTCTCTTTTCCCCCTATAAACTGCTGCATAACAACACAGTCGGCAGCAGGGGGCCCCCCACCCATCGGGGGGTTAGGGTTGTGCGGGGCCCCCAGACCAGCTGTATAAACAGCCACTGCAGGTTGATTAATTAAGTTATAAAGAAATGTATTCATTTTTGTTATTATTTTAGTTAGTTAAATCACACTGAGGAATTAAAATGCCTCTTAGATGGAGAGAAGCGAATAACGAGCAGCCACTAACGAAGATATTCAAAGCTTGTTGCAGCGTTTGCTTCTGCAGCAGCAGCAGAAGCAGCAGCCAAAGCTGCAAAAACTGCACCTGCAACAGCTACAGCAGCTGCATCTGCAGCAGAGAGGAAGCAAGCTGTGCTTCAAGTTTACCTCTAGCCCTCGATCGCTGCGGGGAGCAGTCGTGAGGTGCAGCAGAGTCAAAACAATAAAAGCAATGAAAAGAGTTTCTTCGTAAATGTAGGTAGCCTCCCCTCAACTCTCCAGATGTCCTGGCTCCAGCTGCGCAACTGCCTGGGTCTGGCAAACAAAGGGGTGGGCGTGGGTTGAGTTACAGCGCACGTAGCTGCATCTCCTGCTGCAAGGCGACCCCACTGGCAAACACAAACAAGCCCTCTTTTCTGCATGCACTTACCCTGTTTATTATTGTTACGGGCCTAAACGCCTTCATGAAAACCAGTCTGGATCCGGGTAGAAATGCACATACGAACCCCAAACGGGCCCTGCTGCGCCTGAGCTTCCTCCGGGCCTTCCTTCAAGCAGGGCATGCGCTCTTATGCCTTGGAAGCAAAGAGTCACAGAGGAAAGAAGAGAAAAAGATTCTAAGGATAGCGAACAACGAGCGGCGTCTGCAGTTGTCGCTTATTTTTGTTGCTGCTGCTGCCGACCACAAGATGCTGCTGCTGCTTCACGGGCCTGCTCCAGGCCAGTAAGGCTCCCTCTTTTATGCATCTGGGTTGAGAGCACCTAGTTGATGCGGGTCAACCCAATCTTATTAAATGCGGTAAGCCGCTGCGGAAGCAAAACTTTGGTGCTTGCTAGGGGCAGGCGCCCAGCCAGCCACGGAGAGGGCCCCTCCCCAAGAATGTGAAGGAATAAAAGTCTTGCCGGCGGCACAGTCTAGCTACACATAGGTAGAGGGACGGGCGCAGAGCAACAGACGAGACCGAACAATGAGCAGCAAAAGGTATTCGGTCGAGTCTGTTAATCTGCAAAAGGTGTGCACGGCCCAGCTTTACTCCAACCAATGCATGCGCACGCATGTAGTTTTAGCCGGTGAGTCAAGAAAGACTCTTGCAAGTCTCCTTGACGGATTGCTTCATGCCAGCGACCGGGGCTGCAACTGTTCGGCGAACGTCGATTGTTGGGCTCTCATGTCTGGTCTTCATGCACCTACTTTAAGCACTCCTTTGCTGCTGCAGGATGTGTATGGAGCTCAGCTCGACAAGCTCATGCATAACGGGGGCTGGATTCCAACAACCAGGTTCAACGTCTGGTAAGATACATTGCACATTGTTTCTGTATACACCAAGGAGGCCGGAGAGCAAAGGGTAGAGGTGTGCACTGCTGTATAATGAAGTCATTCTACAAGAGGGAAGAAATCAAGCAATGGTGATGAGTCGTGTTGAGTGTAGAGTGGTAAACAGTGCACATGCATGCGCTTGGTGCGTTTAGTTGGACCCCGGGGCTTCGGCTAGTTGTTCGCTGTGGCCATTTTATTGTTGGTATTAAGCCGTGAGATGAATTTATGCTAGAAGAACTAACAAACTACGGCCCCCTGTCAGTAATGATGCCTTCAGGAATGCTGTAGAGCTTCCAAAACATTACTCAAAGAATTATGCCACTCCCTCTGCTGTCGCTCAACTCTGACGAAGGGTGGAGTGAGCATAGTGGCTGACTCTATCTAAACCGCCATGAATGCCACCTAATGATAGACCCACTATGAAATCCACTGAGATCTCCGTCCACATCCCCGTAGAAACCTTAAGGCTCTACAAAGGGCTGGACACGAAAGCTTTCCGTTCCCTTCGCCCGGTACATTCCAAAGAAACGTAAAGACTTTCATTTGCTTAGTAGCCCATAGAAAGCCACCAAAAGGAGCTGATCACCCGTTAGACTGTTGTGTTGACTCCACCAATGCGCACGAAAGCACGATCGTGCACTCTGCACGAATCTCCTCTACGACGCGAAGGTGCGACGTACAGACAGCGAGTCCGCGTAGGTTTCTGAGACTTGATTGTGAAAATCAATTCCTCTGGAGCATCTAAGCGCCCTCGTCGGCTTACAGGATGCGTGGCGGGTTATATCTCCATCTATACGAACTCTCCAGCTCTAACCCTTTAACCTAACCCTTTTCTGTTGCGATTTGTACCCCGCCTTCTACCTCGGCTCCACCGCGCTCAGCCCTTCCCCTTTCCCTATTTTTTCGGGCTATGCTTCAGGCTTTGGGGATGGTGAGGCTTCCCCAAGCCCACAATGATGTTTGTTGGTGGGTGCTGTTCACCACGTACTTTTCGTTGGGTAAGGAAGCTCGAACGAAACGGTGCCACCCAACCTCGGTCGCACAGCACTGAACGCTGCACACTGTCAACGGCCGCGCCACTGATTGTGCTTGCAGCAGCGAGATGCACGCATGCAGGGAGCAGAGTAAGACAATCGGAGAAGCAGCAGCTGTCGATGTTTCCCCCATTCTTTCTTGCCTCCATCATTTTGCTTTTCCTCTTCTTTGTTCGGATCTATGGAACGTCTCCCAAGCTCCTTTCCTTCGCTTCAGCCATTCTTTGTAAGATAGCCAGGTCCTCGAGGGGCTGCGCTGTTTGCCTGAGAGTGGAGGAGTAGATGAAGTATACTGTCTCCGACGTTAGTGCGAGCAATTACATTGCATTCAGGCTGGAGAGTGAGGTCATCGAAAGTGTTCAACAATTGCCTACAATATTAACTCGCCCATCAGGTATGACTTGGTTATGCTGGCGTCCATGGAAGCCTTGCAGCAGCAGTTGTAGCAAAGCATGCTGCAACCCATCAGAGAATTTGCCGCCTTCTGTCCGCAACTTCCCCAGGCTCATCTGCTGCTACTGTGCAGATAACTCTTGGAAACTGAGGGGGGGCGGGCACAGCTGCCTTTTTATTATTATTTATTATACGTTAAGTAAACGAATAAAACTCTTATTTTTGTTTTTTCGTGTTTGATGCGGGTCTTATTGCACTTATTTATTTTATATTGCACCTCTTATTTAATTTATTCTCCTCTGCTGCGTCTCCTACTAAAATTTTTTCTTCTCTGCTAAGAGAACAGCGGGACTTGCAGCAGGGGGCCTCCGCACTCTCTGTGGTTTGTTGCTGTTTAGACCAAACCCTCCTCTTTTAATCATTAAAGTCCTGGAATAAAATAAACGATAAACGCAAATAGATTTTATAAATGCTTTATAAAAAGACTGCTTGCTGAGGGCATACACCGGCAGGCGCTGCTCTGGGGAGGGGTGAGGCTTGCAGTAAATAGTTGTTTCTCAAGACAACGAAAGGATTTGAAGGAGATAAATATATAAATTAATTTAAATAATTAAAAAAGAAAAAGAGATAACTATGGGAACTCTACAAGTGTAGATACGCATGCAACGAGGAAAAGGGAGGGGGCTGTGTGGGGTTGCATGCGTTGTCTCTTTTTTTTGTTCCTATTGCTACTCTGTTTGCGTCTGGTTTATAATAAATAGAGTTTGAACAATTTAATTAGCACCCAATAGGCCCCTGAGCTGCGGTGTCTCCGCATCTCTTCAGCTGTACATACACTCGAAGGGGACTCTCAAGAGAACAAAGCGTGCATAGCTATAACAGCATAAGTGAGCTCATTATTCCTTTATTTCTTTTTTCATTTATTTACTGTTCACTACTCAACGGATAATTACAAAGTCTATAAGGGCAGTCAGAACCCGAGAGGCTAAAATATAGCTCCAGAAGAAGGTTTTCTCTTTGGGCTCTGTTTAATTTTTTCTTTTAATTCTTCTTAAGTGCAGATGCAGGCTTAGGGTTATTCGTTTAAAAGATATATTAGAGCTGTGTGCTGCTGCTTTGTTCGTCTTCAAGGGCAAATGGCGCCGAAGAAGAAAGAAGAAGTGGAGGAAAAGATTCTGCTAGGCAGGCAAGTGCATACGTCATATGTTGTTTAAAACTGCATTGTCTCGTGTTGTTTTTCTTTTAATATGCACTGTTTTGCGTTGCTTTATTTATAAAAAAAACATCGTTGGTTTAAATTTTTTGTTTTGTGGAATCCGTTATTTTTAGTTTTTTATTGTTTAATCTCCCTCATTGTTTTTGTCTAGTTTTGTTCTTTAATAATCGTGTTCTTGCTTTGTTTTTCCCCTCAAATATCATCACTTCTTCTTCTTTATTCTACGAACACCATTTTTTTTGTTTTGTTGTTTTGCTTAGGAATGATTTCTTTGTGTTTATTTTCCCCTTTCTATGCAGTTGCTGTCCCTCGGCACAATGTTTCAGCTCCATTGTTTTTTGTTTTGTTATTTAATCTTCGTTATTTTGTTTTGTTTTGTTCTTTAATTATTAATGTTTTATGTTCTGTTCTTTTATTGCGAGGGTTTAGGGTTTAGTTTTTGTTGTTTTGCCATTTAAATCCATCTAAATATCATTGTCTTACATTGTTGTTTGTCTTTCCGTTCTTTGCATTCATTCAATCTATTCAAAGCATTTCCCCCTTTATTACTTCTCTTCATGAGAGTATTACTTGTTTCCTCCCTGGATTTATTTCTTTTACTGTAATGTCTCTTTTCTACTCGCACTGAGGTGTATGTACAGCTGGTGGGGGGCTTTGTGCTGTTTGTGGGGTGTACAGACCCCGAAATACCTTGAAAATGGGGATGGTTGGCCTCCCTAATGTAGGAAAGAGCACCACATTTAATTTGTTGTGCAAACAATCCGTACCTGCAGAGAATTACCCCTTCTGTACTATCGACCCCCATGAGGCACGCATGAACGGTAGGTTTGTTTGCTTGCTTGCTTATTTATTTATTTATTTATTTGTTTATTTGCCTGTCTGTCTGTTTGTTTGCTTGTCTATCCGTTTGTTTGCTTTCTTTGTCTTGTTTGCTTGTTTTGTTTGTTTCGATTATTTATTTGTGTGTTTGCTTGTTTGTTTGTTTGGTGGTTTGTTTGTTCGTTTGTCTTTCTGTTTGTCTTTTTGTTTATGATGTTTGCAGTTTGTTTATTAAAGTGAACAAAGTAAACACCGCAGATAATTCTTCAGACTCGCATCCATTAGAACATCACCATCAGCAGATCTGTTTCAAATCCATGTGTAGTATTATTCAGATATTACAGAGTATTAAAGGGCGAAGAAAATTGTTTAAATGATAGCAGAAAGCCCCTAATAAGCCCTTCATGCACTTAGGAAAAATAAAAAAGAACAACAACTCCACTGACACCTCACGGGGCAAATAGAAAGATGAAATATATTTCTTTTCTTTCGTGCATGCATGCATGCATGAATTGTTTTGCGTGTGGTTGTTGTTGGGGTGTCTGTACAGTTCCTGATGATCGTTTTCGGTGGTTATGCGGCCACTTTAAGCCGAAGAGCGAAGTGTCTGCCACTTTATCTATTTTTGATATCGCTGGTCTTGTGCCTGGGGCTCACAAAGGGGAGGGACTTGGTAATGCTTTTCTCTCTCATATTCAGGCTGTAGACGGCATTTTTCATGTTGTAAGAAACACTAAAATGCAGCTGAAAAGAAGCATTCGGAGGGCTATAACTTGTTTAATTGCTTGCTGATTGTTTGTTGTTTCGTTTGCTTATGTGTTTTTTTGCTTGTTTGTTTTTGTTTGGCGGTGTATTGGTTATTTGGCTGTTCTTTTGTTTGTTTGTTCTTTGCCTGTCTCTACAGTTCAGGGGCTCTCCGGGTGTCTCTGTCAGTGGTTGTTTGTTTGTTTGTTTGCCTCCTTTCTATAACTGAGCCGTTCAGCTGTCCCCATCTGATTGCTTGTTTCATTTCTACAGTTGTCATTTGTGGTTGTGTCTGCAGCTTTCTCTGTCTTTGTCTCTGTAGTGGCTCTTTTAAATCTCTCCCTCTATTCCGCCCTCTCTTCGTTTGTCTCTCTTGAGTGTCTCCCCAGCTACTTGTGTGTTGTGAGCTGTCTGTCTCCTTTTGCCTGTCTCCCCTTGTCTGTCCCTTCAGAGACTGTCCTGTCTCCGAAGGGTGGTGTATGTGTAATTGTCTTCCTGCGCTTCGGCGCATTTCTTTTTGGTGCTGCTAGTACTTTCGTTGCTGCTGTTGCTGCTTCTCTATTATTACGATTGCTGCTAGGTTTGCTGCTACTGCTGCTGCTGCTGCTGCTGCTGGTTTTGGTGGTGCAGGTGCGTGCGTTCGCTGACGAGGAGGTGGTTCACAGTGAGGGAGAAGTAGACCCTGTGAAGGACTTAAATACAATTTCATCAGAGCTGCGTTTAAAAGACTTAGAACGGGCTCAGCGTCTTTTGGAAGACGCTCAGAAATCCTCTCGACAGCAGAAGGCAGCAGACAAGGCAAAAAAATTGCAAGAAGAGGTCTTGCAGGCTGTGATCAAGCTGCTAGAGGAGGGGAAGTGGGTGCAGCAGGGTAAGGAAAGGCAGCAAAAAGCTGCATTGTCTCCCTCTTACTGCTACAAGAGTCTCAATATCCAGCTGTCTCCTCCTGTCTGTGTTGTTCGTCTTTTCTTTTTGCTGCCGGCTTCCCTCCTTCCTCTGCTGTGGTGCTGCTGTCTGGGGTCAAGTGGAGTTGTTTGTAGATGAGCCCCTTCGAAGGCCTCACGTTTTCTTTTTTTGCGCTTTTTCTTCTTTGCGATGCCTTGCTGCAGGGAACTGGAAGGCGGCAGAGGTAGAGATTTTAAATGAATATCAGTTTCTAACTGCTAAGACGGTCGTCTACTTGGTGAACATGAGTGAAAAAGATTTCATTCGACAGAAGAACAAATGGCTAGCAAAGATACATGCCTGGGTCCAGGAAAACGTACAGGGACCCATCATTCCCTACTCTGCTGTCTTTGAAAATAAACTCGCTGAACTGCCAGACGATGAGGCGAGAGAGAATTACATCAAGGTACAAAGACGAAGGAAAAAAAATACCTCTTCTGCGGTGTACAGACATCTCAATGAGGGCAGCTGCGACATCTTTTCAATTCTACTTTTAATTTAGCCAGTGTTGCTTTTCTGTTGGCTTGGATGTGGAGGGGTTGGGGCCTGATGCTGCCTTCTCGTCTTCATCTTTTTCCTGTTTATTTGTTCTATAAGCTTTGCGTCGTCCGTCTGTTTGCTTCCTTTTCTCTGCTCGTTTGTGTATATGCTTCTTGTATCCATATTTTGTTCCTTTACAAGCCAAACAAACAAAAAACCCCCAAGTACACATGACAGCTTGAACACCTAAAAAACGGGGAAGCAGCTTGGTTGTCGATTTGCCTTCTGATATGCCTGTTTGCTTTGCTCCTTTTGGCTTTTGTTTGCAGAGCAGTGGGGCTTCTAAGAGCATGCTAGACAAGATTATCCAGACCGGTTATCATGCGTTGCATTTAATCCATTTCTTTACCTGTGGGGAGGACGAGGTGAAGTGCTGGACAATTCGTGCAGGTAAGACATATCTCCATAAGTCTCGTATCTTTTGCTCTTTTTCTCTTTTAAAAATGCAAAAGAACGGCATTACCATTCATTAGATGATTAGGAAAACAGTTCATTGGTTATCTTCCTATTTTATCTTAGCATCACCTCTCCACCTCTGCCTCCAAACAATTATTAGTTAATTGGTAGACTGTAGGCAATTAATCCGAGCTTCTTTGAAGAACGCAGATGAGGGCGGCTGTTTAGTCTAGTGGTATGATTCTCGCTTAGGGTGCGAGAGGTCCCGGGTTCAATTCCCGGAACAGCCCCTTCCCTTTTTCGTGTTTCCTTATTTCGTTTCGATGTGTGGTAGAAGTCCATTTATCCGTCGAATAGGAATAATATATATAATATATGCATATGTAAGTGTGTGCATTATATATATGATGTATATATGTATATAATACGCATGCGCCTTTATATATATATATATATATATATATATATATGCCTGTTTGCATGAACTGTACCTGAAACCATTCTGAGATTTTGAAGTCCCGAGTTTTCAAAGTATGCGAAGACCTGTATGTTGATTTATTCATTTGTGTTTACATTTCTTAGTTTGCAACTGCACAGTAATTTGAGACGGCGTATTTAATGAAATAAACAACATAAAATTCTAAATGTACTGGAGGATTCTCCCCTGCTGTTGTGTTCAGGTACAAAGGCCCCCCAAGCGGCTGGAGTGATTCATACGGATTTCGAAAGGGGTTTTATTTGTGCTGAGGTATATAAATACAGCGACCTCGTTGAGCTTGGCAGCGAAAATGCAGTTAAAGCTGCGGGAAAATACCTGCAAAAAGGGTGAGAAGAGACTCCGCAAGTCTATCATTTTCTTGTCAAAATATATAATATATCCATTACGCCTATCCCTGCTGCAAACAACTCCTATGCATGCACGGTTGCTGTTGCGGCATCTGCTTTATTTTATCTCTCAGCTTGATTTCTGATGTTTTTCTTTTGTTTCTTGTCTTTTAATTCGCATTTATTATTTGTTGAATGCCTTGTGATCTGCAGGAAGGACTACGTAGTTGAGGACGGTGATATAATATTTTTTAAATTCAATGTAACAAACAGCGGAAAGAAATAAATGTCTCCTTAGGGGTTGTTGTGTTTGGGGGCTGCACCAGAGCCTTACAGGAGCAGCAGCAACAGCAGCAGCAACAGCAGCAGCAGCAGCAGCAGCGGGACATCTTTGGTGGTATATCGCTGCAGCATTTCGCATTTTGTTGCGATGCTGCTGCCGCAGCAGCACAAGCCTTTCTTCAGCTTGTTTTAGTCATCGTATGAAGCTTGTTTTCTTCTGATCGAAGCAAACACACTGTCTTCTCTAAAACCTTTTAAAGTATCTTTTCTGGTATTATATATTTATATTTCTAATGGTGCAGAGTTTTTCATGTTTTCCTTGAGCCGTCTTTATCAAACCATCCCTTCACCTTTCGCTGCTCTTCCGACGCAGCATTACCTTCATTAATGTTGTATATATTCATAGATAAAAATATAGATGTAGAAATATCGATATATAGGTATAGATATAGGCATAGATGCATAGACATATAAAGATATACGTATAGATATAGATGTGGATTTTATATATATAGATATAGATACACAGATATAGATATATAGATATAGACATACATATACATATACATATACATATACATATACATATACATATACATATACATATACATATACATATACGTATACATATACATTTACATAAACATACATATATATATATATAGAGAGAGAGGGAGAGATATATAAATATGCAGCTATAGGAAGATTGGTAAATTGAATATAATATAAATGTTGGCGCTGCCTGCAAGCCTCTGCAAACAACGCTTTTCGCATTATTTGTAGGCAAGAATAGCTCTCATGGAAGTATTATTATTAACACCGAATTTTAACTAAATCTGTTGTAACGGTATTAAAAATTAAATAAGTCAATGGAACTGACTGACGTACTACCAAACAGGCAGCTTTTGTGCCTTCTGAGTAGTTCCTCTTATCTCAAGATTAGCATGCATGCATTTTATATAAACTTTTAGATGCATATAAATTGTTAAGTCGCCAAATACTTAAATAACCATATCTTTACCAACAAAACAAGCTGCAAAATGCTGCAGCGAGGAAGGCCTGAGGAGATACGAAGTTTCTGTCTGCTGCTGTTTAATGCAGTTTATCTAGCCCACGCTGTATTTATTTCCTTTAAATGAAACTCTGAAGTTTTGTTTTGCTCTTTGTTTGTCTCCTGCTACTGGCAAATTAACTCAAACGGAGACAAACAAACCGCAAAGATGTTTGCCGTCATTTATTCTGTTGTTGTTTTGTGTGTTCCTTGCTGTTTGCTGTCTGTTGTTGTTCGATGTTGATAGCAGCTGTCGGTACTTCGTTGTTATCGTTGTTATAGACTGTTGTCTTTTACTGCTTGTTTCTGTTTCTCGTTGTTTGTTTTTGTCGTCTGTTGTTGCTGTTGTTGCTGGGGTTGTTGCTGCATGCACGAGGCTGCGTGAGATGGGGCTGGATCGGTTAGTTGAACAAATACAGTATTTTTTGTCTCTTTCCTGTTACTGAGTCCTGCGCATGCAGCTCCACACCAGCAACTTTTGATGCTGTCTGTACACCTGTCCAGACACACAGGATGAAAGAAGTTATGAACAGTAGCAACAACTGCAGCACCAGCAAGAAAAGTTGCGCTAGCAGCAAGGCAGCAACAACAACAGCACCTGCGACAACAGCAATAGCGGCAGCAGCAACAGCAGCTGCGGCAGCAACACGTCCAGCAAAGGCCTCAGCAGATGAAGATAGAGAAAGGGCACTTAGATTATCATCCGTTTCTGCCTTATAGATTCAAACTGACTGCAAACATACTCCAGCTTTATGAAATATGTATCTCTGAAATGACTCACAAACATAGAAAACCTCCACATCAAATGTCCCCATATGCATCAAATTATATAGTTTTCTTTACAATAGATATAATATTTATTATTAGAGTTGAAATTTCATTGTTGCTGAGAGGCAGCGAAGCTGCGCATTCAAAGAGTAGCAAGGTCACCTTGACGCCCCTACAGTAGTTAGTGTATCGAGGGAGAAAATGCGCTGCATTAATCCTTTTTAAAGTGAAATACGCTTTAAAAAGACCAGAGAAGCTTAATTAAAAGGGTCATTTTCCTTTTTCTTCGAGTTTGCACACCTCAGATGCTCTAAGAAGGCACGAGGCTTCGGTGGGCTTCGGCACTGCGAAAACTTGTCGGCGCCGCAGCAACTGCGCGTCTTGAAATTAGATTAACTTTATATTAATTCTTAGATTTCAGTCGTTCTTTTTATTGCAAAAAGCAGAAGAACGCTGAAATATTCCATTTTCGTTTGTTTTCGCTTGCTGCCGCTGTGAGGAGAGGCGGCAAGCGTCGTCGGCGGCGGTGGATGTAGCGCTGTATTTCTGTATGTTGGTTTTTATTTTGCTGCATTCTAGGCTTAAAAATCTCCTTTTATTTTTACAATGATAATATTGCTGTTTAATATCGTAAAGTGATGAGGAAGACTGCTTTTTATTGGGGCCAACCGCTTACAGTCAGCGCAGCGGCGCTTGGCTGCGGCCCAGCAGTATACACCAGCCGTGCATGTGGTAAGCTCGAGGATATCTGTATGCCTTCTATTGCGTTGAAACAAAGTAGATCTTTAATTCTTTCATCTTGGGTTCACTAATAAAACTTGATTAACCCTCAAAGGGCAGCAGCAGCCGCAGCAACGCAGCAGCGCGACTGCAAGCCCCTCTCCCGAAGGCCTACCAACGGCCTTCCTTCACACAGACACTGCAGCAGCGGCTGCCTGTTGTCTTTGCTTTATGTAGCTTGTAGTTTTTCTTATTGAAATCAAATACCTTTACTAACGAAGTTCATTTAATACACCCCAGCAGCCTCTCTTTCTTTTCAAGGTTTCTCTGTCGCTCCTCCTGCCTTCGCGACAGCTAGAGAGGCCCAGGCAGCGCCTTATCCCTTTTCTTCTTTTTGTTGCTTTAAAGTTTAATCTTTTCAGTTTGTCTTTTTGGCTTTGTATCTTTTCAACGTGGGGAGGAAGACAGCTCAACGAGGCGTACGTACGTACACCTGAACAGCCAGCAAACCCACAACAACAACAGCGCCGCAGCGCGAGGCCTTTCCTCCTCTTTCTCTCAACAACACACAAACAAAAGGAGATAAAGAGGAAACCAAAGAAAGAGGGAACAACACCTAACAAAAACGGAAGGGCACGTCTGGCCCGCAAGGGCCTGAAGCCGCTGCTAGCCATCCATCGGCCTGAAACTCTACACGGCAAATACTTCCGTTATTTATGAAAATAGGAAAATGAATGAGCTCAAAAACACCACAACAATTTGAATTAAGTAAAAGCCATAGCGATATACAGCTCTTGTCTCCTTCGCCGTCACTTTACCATGCATTCCCTCGCCGCAGGTGGGCCCCCCTAAACCTAATTTCCTCCTCTTGTGGGGCCCCCGCGCTGCTGCGGGGGACCCTACAGCCATGCGCCCCCTTTTAGGGTCCTCTTCGCTGCAGTGTGAAGATCTAGTGGTAGGGGGGGGCCCCCGAGGGGGCCCCCTGTGTCTCCAGCAGGGGGGGAGGGCTGCTGTGCCTCGTCTGCACCTGCCCCTTCACACAGTACCCTGCAGCAGCACAGGAGACAGTGAAGGAAGTACCTTGGTTTGTCGGTCGTCTCAACCCCCACAGACAGCAAGGATTCAATTTAATGGGGCTGCATGCGGCGCTCATCGACAGCCGCAGCCGGGGTGGGCCCATGAGACCCCCACGCCGACCCCTGAGTCGGTGCTGCACCTCTGCACCTACAGGGGAGGCCCCCGGAGTGGCCCCCTCCAGGCAGAGGGGTTGGAGGACCCCAAAGGGAGTTGTCAGGGGCCCCCACCTTCAGCGAAGCCTCCGAATCTCCTGCATGCGTTTGCGGAGACGAAGGGGCTTAACCGTTTGGGGGGAGGAGACTGTCCCTACTCTTCGCAGAAGAAGAGACAGATAGAGGATGGAACCCATGCAATTAAGACATTAGGGGCTCCAGAGGGCATGGGCACTGAACTCAGGGGACGCGGGGGAAGCCCCCCTGCAGCAACAGGAGACTCCAGGGGCCCTCGTGCTGCAAGTCAAGCCTCTCAGAGGGCTGGGGCGCAGCAGCAAAAGCAGCAGCTACCTGTTGCTGCTCGTCTCCGCTTAGACCTCGGTTCTGTATCGGGGGCATTTGATACCAGCCCTAGGACTCAAGTGAGGTTGGGAGCCCCCCTAGGGGCCCCCGCTTCTCCCTACCGGGCGCCCCACATGCCGCAAATGCAGGGTCCTGACTCTACAGCAGCAGCTGGAAGAGCAGCAGAGGCAAAGGGCTACAGTGTGCGTCTGCAGCAGCACAACGAGTGGCATGCGGAGCGTCTGTCTCCGATGCAGCAGCAGCTGCGTCGGCAGCAGCTGCAGCAGCAGCAGCAGCAGCGTCGGGGGCACTTAACGGCTCGGGCCTCCACCATGGGGGCCCCCCCTTCCTGGCTTTCCAGCTGCAGCAGTCATTTGCAAGGTGTTTTATTCTGTGAAGAAACCCCAAGGGCCCCCCGCAGCCACGTACAGAACCTTGTGCAGCAGCTGGAGGCCCGTCGCCTCCGTTGTAAAGGCGGGGGGGCCCTCAAAGCTATGGGGAGCCCCTCGGGTTGCAGGGCCCACGAGAGAGCAGCACTGCGTTTTAAAGAGTCGTTTGAAAGAGATTCTCCTTCTAGAGGGGCTGCTTCTGATAAGCCTAATTCAAACACCGACGCAGAGCGGCCAGTAGCACCAAAAGAAGAAAACCCCAGACGCAGGGAGGCAGCTAAACCTGCCGAGACACCCAAGCCAGCAGCTGCTGCATGCGCACCTGCATCAGCATCAGTACGCGCCGGAGAGGGACCAGCAGAGGTCTTGGAGGAGAAGTGGGGTACGGGGGCCCCCCCAGGAGGCCCTGTGGGGGGCCCTCCAGGAACCCCCCCTACAAGGGGGGCCCCTGGAGGTCACTTGCTGCAGGCCGCGCTGGCGAGGGGACCCCCTGAAAAGGTAGTGGGGTCTTATTTGTTAGGGCGGACGATTGGGGAGGGTACCTTCGGCAAGGTGCGTGTAGCGACGCATGCACTTACAGGAGAATGCGTGGCTGTGAAGGTGTTGGAGAAGGAGAAACTCAAAGCAGCAGAAGATGCAGAACGCGTGCTGAGAGAAATTCATATTTTGAGGGCAGTTAGGCACCCACACATTATCCATCTGCTCGAGGTAAGATATATGTATGCATGCAGAAATACACAAATATATATGCATATATATATGTATATATATATATATATTTAAATACTTCTATACTTGTAATGTTCCTTTGGTATCAGGTATAGAATATCTTACTCGCAGTGTTTATATAATTGCTTACTTGTATAGTATTATATATTAGTAAGCAAACCGTTATCTCAAACCCTACACCCTTAGCTCTCGCGCCAACCCGACAGCGCAGACTTGCCTATACACCCCACATACTGAAAAGGGGTCTTAACTTTGCTAGAGGTTGCACGCAGCTAAAGACAGACAAAGGAGAGAAAGAAACCTACAGAGGAAGATATGGGCGCTTGCTAGTGCCATGAAGGGACGCTTTCTTGTCTTTGTTTGTCTCTGTGTTTGTCTGTTTACCTCTCTATTTCTGTCTATGTCTCTCTGCTTTCATCTCTGTATCCTTGCTTTTTTCTCTGTCTCTCTGTCTCCGTTTCTCCCTCTCGGTCTCTCTTCTGGCCTCAATCTCTGTCTCTGTTTTTCTCTTTGGCCCTTGCTGCTGCAGCGTGTTGCTTCGATGCTATGTTGTTATGTTGCTGCTGTTTGCTGTGCCGTTCAGATTCTGGAGACTCCTTCGCGTTTGTATTTGGTGATGGAGTTAGCCAGCGGAGGGGAGTTGTTTGATTTCATAGTGCAGAGACAACGAGTAGATGAGGGGACAGCGCGACGTCTTTTCAGGCAAATTCTTTCGGGAGTGGAGGCTCTTCATTCCCTCTGCATTTGCCACAGGTAGACACCAGCAGCAGCAGCAGTAGCAACGGAGCAGCAAGCTGTCTGTACACCCCGCTCCGTGTGTGTACATGCGTGCATGGACGACGGGATCTTTGTTTATTCTCCATTCGCTACATGGGTCTTGTGTCCCCTGCTGTTGTTCGCTTCGCTTCACTTCTCTCTCTAGCCCTCTACTTCTTGTCTCTGAACATTCTTCTATAATTCTTCTTCCTCATTATTATTATTATTATTATTATTGTTATTATTATTATTGTTATTATTATTGTTGTTGTTGTTATTGTTATTGTTATTGTTATTGTTATTGTTATTGTTATTGTTATTTTTGTTTTTGCTTTTATTGTTATTATGCCGCTGCTGCTGCTATCCTTTGATTGTGGTGTCCATTTCTTGACTCTTCGTTTTGCTTTTGCCGCACCTTCGAGCTTCTGCTGCAGCGGCAGCAGCAGCAGGTTGTGCTGCAGTGTATGCTGTGTTTATTGTATTTGTTTTGCCTGGGGCTTGCCCTCTGTGTCTCTTCGTGAGCTTGTGCTGCTGCGGTGTTTCCCTCTTCATTTGATTTACCTTCTTTGTTGCATTCATGTCTCGGTGTTGTTGTTTAGTTATCTTCTTTTTCGGTTGCTGCTTATTTTTGCTGTTTTCCTTCTGTCTTCATTTGCTTGTTTGTTGTTTCTTGTTTGTTCTTTGGTGCTAAGGGATTTAAAACCCGAGAATCTTCTTCTGGATGCCTCAATGAATATAAAAATCGTAGACTTCGGCCTCTCCAATATCTACAGCCACAAACCCATGTTAAAAACTGCATGCGGCTCCCCCTCTTATGCAGCCCCAGAAATCGTGCAAGGAAAACTCTACTCTCCTCTGGCGGTAGACATCTGGAGCTGCGGGTACACCCCAACACCAGCAGAAGCAGCAGCAGCAGCAGCAGCCGCAGGAGAAGCACACCTCTTTTAATGCATTAGTTGGCCCCATTCCCTTCATTTCTTACCTCGAGTACTTTAGAGCAGCCGCAGTAGCAGAGGCTGCAGCAGCAGTAGCAGCAAATGCAGATCTGGTTAAACACCGTTATATTTTGTTTTGCTTGTGTCCCTTTATGTCATTGTCTCCTTACCAGTCTGTTCCTGTCTGAACCTTTATGTTTCCGTCTCCTTGTTTTTTTTTTTTCCTTCTGTCTCTGCCCTTGTCTCTGTATCTGTCTGTCTCCGCGTCCATCTATATCTATATCTGTCTGTGTCTCCTCCTGCATCTCTCTTAATCTTTATTTCTATCCCTACTTATGTGTTGCTGTCTCCTCTATATCTCTGTCTCTCTCTGGTTCAGCGTAATATTATACGCCTTGTTAGTGGGACGTCTCCCCTTTGAAGAGAACACTACAGAGGGGCTTTACAGGAGTATTGTTAGCGGACAGTTTGGCTGCCCCAAGTATTTAAGTGCTGAAGCCAGCAGTCTCCTAAAGGGGATTCTACACACGTGCCCTTTAAAACGTCTAGGGCCTCTACAAATCAAACAGCATCCTTGGTGAGTGTCTCCTTTAAGCAATAAAGACAGCAGCAACAACAGCAACTACTACTACTGTAGCCGCAACAAACAGTCTCTCTTCTCTCCTTTTTATACACCCTAGAAGCTCGTTGCTCTTCCTTTCCCTCGCTCTCTAGCTGTACTCCCTCTACCGCAGCGAAGAGGGGAAGATGTTCAGAAACCCTAAACCCTAGTAGGCGCAGCTATGCTGAGTATCTCAGGGTTTAGGGTTTAGGGTTGTAGGCCCGGTGCATGCAACCGAAGAAAGGGGGTTATTTGCTCTGTCCTTGCCAATCAACTTGTTGTATATTCAGGTTGCGAGAAGGCAGAGGAATTCAACATATACCCCTCAGTCTTTCTTCTTCCCGCTGGCCTTCGGGGCCCCCAGTCTGCTCTCTAAAAGACTGCCGTGCATGCGCTGAATGGTTGTCGCCCCCCTCAGCACAGGTGGGTTCAGCGTTTGGGGGTTGGGGTTTAGGGTTTATGCGAAAGGTGTGTGGCCCACCGCAGCACGAACGCTGGACAGCTTTTGTTGTACAAACACTGCGGAGGACAGCGGAGAGGGAGGGAAGTGCTTCGGGTTTAGGGTTTTGCCCTGGATGCGTGTGCCTTGCTGCAGCTCAGAAGAGACATCTTAGAACAAATGCCGCCTTGCAATTACTCCCTTGAGGCCCTCGAATGCCACATCCGATGCCATCCCGTCGGCGCGCACGCTGCCACGTAAGCTTCTGCTGTTTCCGCTGCTGCTGCTGCTGCAGTTAAGTTCGCTGCCCACAGGATTTCCGTTGCATGCAATGTAGTGTCCTTCATGTGCTCCGCCGCCCACGTCTGCGGCCTGTTCCTCAGGTATTATTTGCTGTGTCTTAAGAAGAGGCGGGAGGAGGAGGAGGCAGCAGCAGCAGCAGCAGCGAAGCAGCAGCGAAGCTCCCCTTCTTTGCCTCCTTGCGGCGGCCCCTCTCCGGCGTCTACAAGACTCAAATGCCCCAAAGACAGCTCTGCGTCTGTTGCAGAGAAGAGCGAGACACCAACAACAACTCCTTCTCTTGCTGCAGAATCTCAAACTGCAAAGGCTGAGGGGCCCCGCCGACCTGCGCCCAAGTCTGGGGCCCCTCGAGAAGCCCCCAAGGGGGCCCCCGGCCTTCCTGGGGGCCCCACAGTTCAGAAGCGCTTGAAGGGGTCTTGCAGTTCCGAGACTTCTCTGCAGCAGCGACTGCAGCAGCAACGGCAGCAACACCAGCTGCAGCTTACAGAGAAGTTGCTGCAGCCGCTGGTCGGCCGCTCCGCCAGGGCGCAAGCCGCCCCCAACACCAGAAGCAGCAGCAGAAGCAGCAGCAGCAGCAGCCCTATCGCTTCAGCGGAAACTTCTCGCCAGACGCCATCCATTCAACTCCCAAGATTATCTTCTGACTCTGAACGCCCCCCTCGGGCTGCTCAACAAAGGGGCGCCTCTGTAGGGGGCCCCACAGAAAAGAGCGCGAGCGGGGGGTTCTTTAGAAGTCCAGACACCCCACAACCGCCTCAGGAAGGCCCCCCATTGCCGCTGCAGCGTAGTGATCGCAGAACATGTGAGAAGGAGACACAAGCAAAAGAGACAGTAGGGTCTCCATCAAGAAACAGCGTAGTGCAGCGCCCAACAACCTCTTGGGATAACCGCTCAGGCACTCTGCAGCAGAAGGGGAAGGACACGCCTTTGAAACAGAAACGGCTTGAATCCTCTCTTCAGCAGCATCAGCAGAAACAGCAACAGCAGGTGCAGCACGAGGGGCAGCACGATGAGAAGCTCCCAGTCCTGGAGAAGCCGCAACCCGCGCAACAGCAGCAGACAAACTGTGAGGCTCTGCAGCTCACGCAGCTCATGATGCGCGATATGGTTGTCCGGCAGCAGCTGCAGCTTCGTGGAGAGTCACTGCAGCAATCCGTGGGTCTAGAGGGGGGCCCCAGTAGAGACGAGTACACCCTCAGGGGCCTCCTCACTGCCCGAGAGCCACTGCCCCCCAGCGCCCAACTCAACTGTAACCTAGGGGCCCCCAAAAGCCCTCGCCGTGTCCTGCAGTCTCTGTTGTCTCCACGCTGTCTGCTTACTGCTGCTGACCTTAGCTGCGAAGGCACCACGCAGCAGCAGCAGCAGCAGCAGCAGCACGAGGGCTGTGCTGTTGCACCAGCCGAATCTGGCTTGTCCACCCATCAGGCGCAACGCTGCGTGTCAGCGCATGCAGAGACACCTCAGATTCAGCATAGAAGTCCCCCAGCTTCTGCTTCCTCTGTGGCCGTCGCCCTTGCTCAGCTCCCCCTGGCAGCGGCAAAACCCAGAAGATCGTTGCAGCTGAACTCGAAGGGTGGGAGTGAAGACGGTGCAGTGTCAGTGCCATCCCGGCTGTCTTCTTCTGTTACTCAACACATTCCCAAGGCCCCTTCACGCAGCGAACAAGGGGGCAAGCGCATGCAAGAAGAAGAGAAACAAACGCAGAAATCAGCAGACAAAACAACAGTTGCAAGTGCGGCACAAAGCCCCAAAGATGCAGCCACGAGAAGCCCTACCAACCTCAAAAAGATCAGCAGCAACAACAGCAGAAGCAGCAGCAGCAATTCAACGTGGGCTGGAACCTCAGTAGCGGCATCAGCAACAGGTGCATGCATTCGAAATCGGAAGCCCTCAGGCCTCAGCGCCTCCCTCTCAGTGCAGAAGCAGCAACGGCAGACACCACTGCAGCGGGCTCAGCAGCAACCGCTGCAGCACTCCAGCACATGGCAAGCAAAGCGAGGCTCCATACGTGCAGAGCAGCAACGGCTGTCACTAGCAGCTGCAGCCCTAGGGCGCAGCGCGACGACAACAGAAACGCCGAGGGCCAGCCTTCGCGTAGAGACCCCCGCGGGAGCCCCCGCTGGAGCCCCCACGGGGGTTCTTACGGGGCCCCATGTTGCGGCGAAGCCGCAAGGGAAGGCTGTGGGTTTGAAGGGGCCTCTGAGGAGAGTTGCGCCTTTACGCTTGTCTCTTAGCACCGGCTGTGCTCCATCGTCGTCAACAGTTGCTGCTGCTCCTGCTGCTGCAGCTCCTTCCAGTTCGGTGGTGCGGGGCCCAGTTGGGGTTAACTTGGATGGTTCTCTGAGGAAAGGTTCGCTAGCAAGGCTTCCCCCGCCCAGGGGGTCTCTGACTGCCCGCGTCACCCTTAGGCGCAGCATTGCTGCAGGGGGAAAGGCAGCAGCAGCGCCACCACCAGCCGCAGCAGCTGCAACACCAGCAGCAGGAGCAGCTGGAGCAGCAGGAGCAGCAGTCAACAGGGTCACCAGGCGCCTTGGAAGCAGTGCTTTAGAAGCAAGCGTGAAGACGCAAGACATGCGAGCTAGAGAGAGACCCTCCGCTACAGTAGTCAGAGCGAGCTCCACCGCATGCAGTAGCAGCTCGGCTTCTCATCCGCCTCTGTCTGCGAAGAGGCCCCAGACGGACACTTTCAAACTGGCGCCCCTGCCGCATGCAACAGCAACTGGCACGTCCCGCGCCCCCCTCCGAGCTGGTGGGGGGGCTGCGGGAGCTCTCGCTGCTGCAGCAAAGGCAGCAGCAACAGCCGCAGCAGCAGCAAGAGGAGCTGCTCTACAGACAAGTCGACACCGTTCGTTAACAGCTGAAGGCCTTCCAACCGACCGCCCACGGGCCCCTGCGAACCCCTGCGGTGTCACTACAGCAGCAGTGACTGCCCAGAAGGCTTCCAAGGGGCCCCCACCTGACAGCCGCATGCAGAAGACACCTCGAACAGCAACAACTAGCACAAGTCTACTGAGAAGATCTGCAGCAGTAGGAGGCCTCTCCCATGCAGCATCCGCTTCCGTTTCGGGCCCAGCACACGGGCTTCGGCCTGCAGCGGTAGCTGCAACAGCAGCTGCAGCAGCAGCTGCAGCTGCAATAGCAGCTGCAACACCTGCCGCAACAACAACAGCAGCAAGCAGCAAAACAGGAGATGGGCGTTCAAAAGTGGGTCCAGGAACCAAGACGGCCAGCACGCACCGCTCCAGCAGCGGAGCTCCAGGCATTTCAACCGCCGGGAAAGTTCCTCTGGGGTCTAGAGGGGGCCTCCATCCTGCGTCTTTGCTGTCTGCAAGAGCCTCTGGGCAGGTGCTGCCCTCAAACAGGAAGCAGCAGCTTCTGCTGCAACAGCAGCAGCAGCAGCAGCCCAAACGCGGGTCCTTGCTTCGCTGCAAGACAGCTGGAGCTGCTGAAGAGAACCGAAAGGGCAATCAGAAGAATCTCCAAGGACTACCCAACAACCGGTGCAGCCTCCCGCAGGGAAATTTCTGAGCTGCTCTTGTCTCAGCTTTATCTTTAAGTTGCATGTTGTCTCAAGCATATTATGTGCGTTCGACGTTGTCTTAGGCGGGGGTCAGAGGGTCAGGGACCTTGCTGAAGCAGGAAGCAGCTAGCCAAAAACGGGTTCAGCACTCAAACAGCTAGCTACAGCTAGCCAGAAACGAGTTCAGTTCGTAAGCAGCAAACAGCTAGCCACAGCTTGCTAGGGGTGGGATACAGTGCTAGAGCAGCAAATAGCGGGCTACAGCTAGCTGCCGGTGGGATACAGGGCTGTGGAGAAAATCAGCTAGCCACAGCTTGCTAGGGGCTTCCCAAAGTTGCAGTCCTACAGCAGGCATATGCAAGAAGGGCTACAAGTAGGTCGACGCAGCTCTCTCTGTCTGAACAGCACCGACGAGATTCAGGAGAAAAATAAGACAGCAATGCCGTCTCAGCAGCAGCTACCTTTTGCTGTCTCTAAAATTCACCTGCAGGCTGTCGTAGCTCCAAACACTTAACTCTGTTTCGTTGCCCACGCGAGGCTTCTCTACTGAACATGAAGGAAAGAAATGCACGTAAGGACTAACTACATTTTCATTAAAAAGTGACTGCTAGGAATCTGAGACACGCGTGATAGACAAAATACAAAAGGCCTGCAAGGTTCCCGATCAGCCGTTGTCTTCAGCTGCGTTAAAGGAGTGCGACGGGATCCCCGCCCCTAGGTAGCTATAGCTAGCTGTTTGCTGCTCCAGCACGGTAATGCGCCCCCAGGTAGCTGTTTGTGCTGTATATAAAGCACTGGGTTTTAAATCATATGCATGCTATCGGTTTACTGGCGCACGTGGGCTTACTAGACCCCGAAAAGGCTCTATATAATACACCATATACTAGAAATATTCCTGCTCTCGCCAAAGCCGTCCTGTACTACGTTTTCTAAACGCAAACTGTGCCCACATGCATCAGCTAAGCATACTTCGTACTGACTTGTCGCAGTAGTGTGCAAGACTTTCCTTAAATGCGCCGGCTTATTTTAGGAATCCGATTGAACAGAGTCAGCGGCGGAAGCCCCGCGCTTGCCTCCGCTTATCCAAAGTATTAATGTTAATTTCTGAGTACATGCATACACCTCTCCGTGTGCAAAACTGAATATATATATATATATA